TCTCCCACATCTTTACAAAAACAAATTGCTCATGGATGCCTTTCTCCACCCAAACTGTCTTTCAGGCAACTTCAGTTTAATTCAACATAAGTCAAGTGCTAAGTTTACACAAATGATTGCTGAGACAGAAGTAGGCTACCCATGTCATCATTACTCAGCTGTCAAAGAAACTGCAGGAGCAGCTTTCGTGCCAAGTGAAGGCATATATGAGCTAAAGGTGATTATGTATATTCAGATCTTTTCTAGTGTTGTGTTTGGACTACAAAGATTTAAATTCAAATTGATTCAGTTTCTGGGGCTTGAAGATACAGAAGCAGTATGTATTCATTAATTCAAAAGAACAAATTAATTAGACTTCCTCAGAAAATGTTACATTTTTCTGAAAGGGTTTTTTCTTTTTTTCTTTTTTTGTTTTTTAATAAAGTGTTCTTTGAATTTCCAAGATAACTGTTTCTGATATATTCCTGGGGGTCAAAGAATATAAAAATCAAAGCAAGTCTCTTTAAGGAGGAAGTCTCCTTTGCTTTATTAGGTTAAACAGTCAGGAGAAAAACGAAATTGAAAATTGTTATTTTATGCCAAATTGCATGTTAGTGATAACATGTAACCCGTGTGCTACTATTTTATGCACAAAAAAAACCCTGCAGCTAACATTTGCATTAATGTTAGCTCATTTACACAGTTGGCTCGGTCTTAATTTGAGTTACTGGGAACATCTGATGGGTCTCTAATTTGCCTGAGCACTCACTCGATTTACTATTCATGGAATTACATTTTTCTTACGCTGTTTCTACATCAAACTAACAGTAAATAATATATTAGTTGGCTCTCATGGCAAGCTCTTTGTCTTATATCTTATATCTTTAGTTCTCAATGACTGGAACGTGACTCAAAACCTGTCCAATCAGTTTTTGCTAAGTGTCCACAATGTTCTGATGTTACAGCTCTAAACCTGTCATTCATTTACTCTCCTCCACCCTCCACTTATCACCTTGAAATGCTGAAATAAAGGTACATGTGGGGAACAATGTGTACAGCCCATATCTGGTTTTATGCCTCAGATATTTTTTCTAAAATAAAAAACATAAATATAAATTTCCTATAATACCATATTACTAGGTAGTATATTACTGACTAGATATGCCAAACTAAAGGAATGTAGAAACATATAAATGGTTTCTATATTAAAAATAGACCATGAAAAGCACAGACAGTGGCTGATGCAGACATTTTTCATTGTTTATAATGCTTGGTTTCACACTTAGTGTGTTACAACTTCACTCTTCTCCAAGACTAGCTGATGGACAAACACCAGCATGTAAAATCTTAACTGGTTGTACCACACATTTTTGACACTGTCAACATCTGATAACAGACGCTCACTTTAGGTAGACGGGGAGTCTGCAGCTGATACATAATTTCCCTATAAGATTGCATTTCTGCTTCCAAGAATGATGCTAGTGTGGATACTAATAAAAAAGACAAAAGGCTGACAGCATAGCTGGACAGTATAAAAATTACAGACATCAGGATAATTAACAGTTGCACAACTTTACCTCTTTTGTGTAGAGCAATGCAGTACTATAAAAAAGTATTGAGTCACCCTTCATTTCTTTACATTTTGCTGGGAAAATAGGAAACATGTGCAGTGATTTATTGAAATGTAAAAATCAATAAATAACAACGTGGAATAACAGTTTACATGGGGGAGTGGCCACAAGTCCATCTGACTTGTGCCCACTGGATTTTCAGTCCAGTTCTTGTTTAATCTGGCATACAAGGGTGTAGATTTGGCATGGACGGAAGGGACATATCCCCACCAATATTCAGCGATTATTGAATTGTCCCCACCAATAATTTGATCTATTCGAGTAAAGAAAATCAAACCCGATAGAAAGAAAAAAAACGATCTGTCAACGTCTCATACAGCGAGCTGAGCACAAAAGTTAAATTACGAGTCCTACCTCATGTGACAAATATGGCCAATGTGATTGGCTGTGCCTTTCAGGGAGCTCTGTTTAGTTTTAGCAGCGGCAA